ATGGCATATGACAGACAAAGATAGCTAGATCACTGGAAGTGAATATTATCGTTTCACCTCTATTCACAGAACGACCCATGCCTTACCTACTCTATTCTTATTATGTCTATGGGCTGGGTCCGATTTGGGCGGTAGCGCCACAAAATAAGAAACAATCAGAATGCCCACTCACCTTTAAATTTAAAAATTTAAATTATAGTTCTGTCTCAAATTTCTCAATTCGAGTCTATGTTTCCGTTTAAAATATGACGATCGCGTGCTGACACATTTCAAAGGCGACATCTGAGAGTGGGCATTCTGATTGTTATTTATTCTGTGATAGCGCAGTCATTGGAGATATACACAGCACGACAATAATTATGAAACAAATTCATTATTTTGCCAAATAATTTAACTTTTTACAAAGATCCTAAAATAGATCGATTTTTAGTTTTAAATGCCTATTTTTTAAACAATGTGCTATATAACATGGTAATGTCTAGTTTTGACTTATTGACGCAATTGTTAATTTTTTTAAATGGAAATGTAGGCGTTGTAATACCTCATTTGAAAGATCTTTTAATGCTGTATTCAGTAAGTGAATAGTTGGTGAATTATTTTTACGAAATAAACAAAAATTTATTTTATTTTTCAGTTTGAGAATTTGGGATTAAGTACTGTTAAAGTTATTAACAATAAGCTGTTATAGTTCTATATTTCTGATGACACACTCAGTATTTAATAAACTTTATCTTTTAATAAAAAAAAATAGCTAAATAGACAAAGCTAAAGAATTACACAAAAACACAACAGCAATTAATGGCCAAAAATCAAGTTGCCTGCCTAATGTCAATTAAAATATTAGTTGAAGTTTTGTCAGATATGTACACCAAATTTCGAGTAAAACAATTTTAGAAGTAAGTTATGGCTACTTGAGTAGGTGAAACCCACTGCATAAAAATTTTAATTTTTATAGGATTTGGAGATAAAACGAGAAGTCAGCAACAGGTATGCCATTGATTTAATGAAAAGTATCCAGATCCAGAGAGACTTATTGATCAGCTGATATCAACAGTCAGTAAAATTGAGAAAAAATTTAGAAAAACTGTTCATGTTAAAAATATTCAAAATGCTGGATGTCCTAATGTATCAGAAAATGTGAAACTTAATGTTGTACCTATTAAGTGTTGAAGATAATCCTTATAATATGGCACGCCAAATTGCTGTGGTAACTGGCATATTTCAATGATCGGTATTATGTAAAGACAAAAAGTAGCATTCATACAAAATTTAGTTACATCAAGAACATAATGAAGATACATCCCGATCATCCTATGCACAATCCATGTTTTATTAAACAAGACATTTTGTCTAAATGGACATCGTCAGAAGATCAATGTCTGGGTGAGAATAATTAATGGCCCTTCCTTGTAAGAAAATCTTACAAGGAAGTTATACTGGTCCTTGCCAATAGGTTTCCAAACTCCAACAATCCTAATTTACCAGATGATACTATCTGCTTACAACAAGATGGTGCACCCTTGAACTAAACATGTGATGTTCTGGAGTTTATAAACCACAAAATTAACATAATTACTCTGAAAGTTATTTGTAATGTGCAAGAAGAATGTATTCATCAATTTGCTTGACACTGGCATTTTGAGCATTTAATTTAGCTAAAAATAATATGTAATAATTAACTTTATATTGCAATTCGTTAATTGTAAAATTATTGTGATTAAATTAGTTTAACTTTTATTTTCTCTGTGTAAGCATTAATAAGTTAAGTGTGATACTACTGAATACATTATCAAAAGACCATTCAAATGAGTTATTACAAGACCCTCATTTCAATTCAAGACAAAAATCAACCTATTTCAGGATTTTTGTCTAGCTTTATAATATTTTTCTAAACATCTGCAATTGCATTTGATTTAAAAGTCAGACTTTTAATAAAATAATCTTCTAAGACAAAACTTATTGTCAGTAAAACAGAGTTACAACAAGTAGAAAGAGTCAACAATATAACCTATTTAAGGGCCAACATTAACGATAACTGGGATGTGGGCAGAGAAATAAGAATATGCATTGAAAATGTCAGGTTCACTTTCTATAAACTAAATAAAATTTTCACTAATAGAGAAATTGCACATATTTGTATTGCATGGAGAGCTGTACCCTTACAGAGACATTAATGAAAAAATGTGGGGTCTTTGAGATGTGAATCTACCAATGAATATTAGGGACAATGGCCACAATTGACTGTCATATGACCAGAACCACAAAAAAATAGTTTAGAAACCACAATACAAATGTCTATTCTTGGTCATCTAACAGTTCTGACCTAAATGCCATTTAAAAAGTATGGTATAAAATGAAACAGACACTAAGAAACAACCCACAGCAGAGATTACATTAACTTAAAACCAAAATAGAGCACATTTGGAATAAATTTACCAGTAAACAGTGTGGATCCTTAGTCAAGTAAATGCCCAACTGTATTCAAGTGGTCATAAAGTCTAAGAGTGATATTACAGTGTGTTAATTGATTGGTTAATTTTGTTCGATGTTGTTGTTTGAAGCGATATTATTAGTAATTAACTAATTATATAGTATTACATTAAAAACATTATTAGGAAAAAACAAAGCATCAACGACCTGAATTATGAATGTCCCAATATATATAGTTGTTAGGGTTTGTATAAGATCATAAAATGGGCTTGCCATACTGCAATTGACTTGGTATTGATTGCCATAATCTGATAATATTTAAAATATATTTTAATTACATCCAATGGAAATATTGACAACCTACTGCAGATGTATAATATATCATATTCTTTTAAAGTATTATATTGATTTAGTTAACATAACATGAAATTAATTATAAAAAGGTTTCTTCCTTTTTCTAATAATATTTTTACTGTTACTTAAGTACTGTTAATTTTTTTTCTAATCTTTGTTATATATTTAACTGTCATTTTTATCATTGTTATACTTTTATTTCATTATATTATGTATTTTATGGTAACTTTTTATACTTTTCCTAATTTATGTATAGGGGCCCATATTATTTGAAAGAGAATAGATTTAATTTTAATTATGACATAAAATACAGGGTGTTTAATTTAAAATAAATATTGCATTGTGGTTTGCAATTAAAAAAGTACATACCATTTGTATACTCCCTATATCTAGCAACCAGATTACAGCATAAAGTCTTAAAATACTACTTTCTGTGTGTACAAATTTTCAAGAGTGTAGGTCTATTAATAAATGAGTTATTAATGTTCACAATCATGTCTATTCAGAGAGAGATCTAAAGTTCTATTCAAAACAAGACATAGATGGTGACTTTCAGTGTAACCACAAGTGATAGCCAGCAAAAATATTTTTGATGAATTAATAAGATGATTAATTAGATATTTAGATTTAATCTTAGATAATTTAATAGTCATCCACAAGTGCAAATGTTTAGATTTCAAATCTAATTCTTTTCAGAGATAAGTTTAAAGTCTATGTAAAATACCATTTTAAGTTATATACATGTATTAATTTTTTGTTAAAACAATTTTTCAGATATATTCTCTACATTTGACAAAATACAATTAAGTAAAAGTAAGAGATTTAAAACAAGATTCCTATTTATTCAATATTTGTTCCTATAATATTTTATAAAATTATTGCTATGACTTTTGTACACTATCAAGAAAGACATTCTAATTAATTTATTAACATTAAACAATATTTTCAGACTTTGGTTCACTGGTTGTAATAGGTGAATAAGGAACAACTGTTGGTTTTCTTCTAAAGGTAACATAAGTGTATACTAAGCTTCCAAGTACACTTATATTAATCCCCAAGAAATTTTCTACTGAAAATATATAATCTCCACCTATCACCATGCCCAGATAAGTCACACAAATATTTTTTAAAGTCCCTATAATTGTTGTTGTCAAAGCAGAATTATAATATGTACATAATACTACACTGTAAGATAAAATAAATCCCATAACACAAGATAATAAAAATTGAACCACAAATAGTGTGTCATTCCAAGATTCATAGTTATAAGTAGCTTCCAAATCACCAGAATAAATTGCAAATAAAATAGATGGTATTATCATAAATAAAGAATTATAAAACATAAGTCCATACTTCCCCAACTCTTTAGAATCCAGTTTCTTCTTCATATATACCCCATTAGTAGCAGTAAAAAAGTTATTTAAGAAAATAAATACATAACCTCTTACTGAAAATGCAAGATCATTTATAGCTGCAACTATAGCACCTACTATCATTGTATACACACTGAACTGTACACTAAAGTTTGGCTTGATTCCTAATATATACAACTCCAAAATCATTGTCATTAGTATGGAAAACCTCCTTAAAGCTGTGAACATTGGGAGACTTAATTCTTTTGTGCCTCCTAAGCCGAAGAACATATTTCCTATATAGATCAATGGCAATGGAAATATTTTTCCAAATGTGTTCATTTCCAGACTAGGAAAAGTAACTATTCTGAGTTTTTTAGCTACAAATAAAACAACTATTGTAGCAACCATTTGACCTATTCCTAGGACTTGAAATGAAGGAAAACCATATGTCGTCAGCACAAGTTTATTTACCACTGTTATCATAAAAGATGAAATACCATAAAACAGAGCTGAGCACACTTTCCTCCAGAACAAGGACTGTTCATTAATTTCTTCCTGAGAACGAGTCATGATTTTGTTTACACTATGTCGCTTGCTTTACAAAAATGTATCATTGTCGTTATGGAAGTTTAAATTTAACTGAACACTGAACTTTATTTTAACTGAGTATTCAGATATGATATCATTATACCGCCTTGGCCTACAACAAATGAGATAAGCAAGGCAAGGACAGTAAACAGATGTTAACTGTCAACGATGTCAGTTCAATGTCAATATAAATAGAATTTTAAATTTTATCCTAAAGAATAATAATTTTTAAACATGGTATAAATACAAAATTAGTTTAAAGAACAATCTTACCTTTTTATATAATTATCTTACTGCAATTTACTATCGTACATATCGAAAAATCACCAGCGTTTCACTATTTCACATAGTTAGAAAGTCACAGTACATCAAATTGCAGAGAACACGAATTTCTTTAAATTAGATTTCGTCGGATGCACAGAACACGAATAAAAGATAGTGTTCGGAATTCGGAATTAATCATTATCAAAAAATTGTGTTAGCCATTTTTTTCGAACAGATTTTTTGTAAACAAACATCTATATTAATAAAAATAAATCGCCGTAATGTGTTTACGGGTATCACTTCCGGACGACTGAACCAAATTAGATAATTCATTTTGTTGTGGTTGTTATTATCAGGAGAAGGTTTGTGTAAAAGATAATAGGTTTGTTCCTACAGAAGTTTCAAACTGTCGCCGACTGTCAGACGCATGCGCAATAATAATTTCGCCGTTCCAACAAGATTTTCTCTGATACCTTGTCAACAAAGTACACTGTTCCATGAAATATAAAACCAGTTTGAAATTAGTTCCTGACAGTTTGAAAAGTTTCCGAACTTTTTGCAAACTGGTAATCACAGACATGCGCAATTAGTCGAATTTTGATTTACTCACACCTACACTGTTTATTTTTAATTTTAAATAGGTACCTTTGTTTTGGTAATTTTGTTGTTTTAAGTACATACATAATATTGTATTTTAGTGTTTTATACTTTTGATATTATAATTTATAAAACAATGAGTGACAGTGAATATTCGTCATTATCCTCTATGAGCGACTCCAGTGATGACTTGGAAGAAATTGTATTGGAAGATAGAATTCGCCCTAAAAATAGAAACTATTTTGAAACAACTGTTTCCCAATACAATGAAACAGAGTTTAAGGAGCATTTTCGAATAAGTCGGCATGTTACTGAGTCCATAGCTGAACAGTTTCAAAATAGTGACTACTATAAAATACATGCAGGACCATATGGTAAATTGTCAGCAATGCAACAAGTTTTAATTTTTTTATGGTATATAGGCCATCAAACGGCTAGTTTTAGAGATGTTGCAGACCGCTTCAACATTACAATAAGTTCTTTGTCTAGAGTGATACGAAAAGTGACTTACTTTTTGAGCTACTGCTCAAGTCATATAATAAAATGGCCAACCGATGAAGAAAAAGTTAAAATTGAGAATGTCTTTCGTACGAATGGTTTCTTAGGTGTAATTGGGATAATTGATGGTACACATATCAAGATTGACAAACCAAAGGATGATCCAGATTCTTACATAAATAGAAAAGGATTTTATTCGATTCAGGTAATTTTCTTTACTGTACAGTAATAAAATGTATTTATTCTATGTTATGTTTTAGTTACAATTGGTATGTGACCATGAATTACAAATCAGAGACATATTTATTGGTTACCCGGGCTCTGTACATGATAGTCGAGTATTCCGCAGTTCTCCATTGTCTCAGACACTACAAGAAAAATGTGGAAATTATTATATATTAGGAGACAGTGGATATCCTGTATTGCCCAATTTATTAACACCCTTTAGAGACCGGGGGCAGTTAAGTAGGGCCCAAATAAATTATAATTCAAAACTGTGTGCTAACCGGTACTTAGTAGAGCATTGCATAGGAGTCCTCAAACAAAAATTTAGGCAGTTATACCATCTTAAATTACGCTCTATAGCTGATTGTGTACATTTAATAAGAGCAAGTTGTGTTTTGCATAATATTTCATTAAATGATGAATTTTTATATGAAAACAATCCTGCAGGCAATAATGAAGCAGCACCTGATTTACAGTTGGACAATAATGATCCTGATGATGAACCTGATGACAGAAATGGTGCTGCAGTTCGAAATCAAATTTTAAATTTGTTAGAACAATAAAAATTTTAAAATACTTTATTTTTTAATTATTATGATTTTTACAGTTAAAGTAACAAAATATTTATTCAGAAAAACAATACTATACATATAAATTAATCTTATGGATTTTCCCTAAGTTTGTTTTGCTTTTCAAGTAGTTGGTTCTGCTTCTCAAGTAATTGGTTTTGCTTCTCAAGTAATAGATTTCGCCTTTTTATCTCTTCTAGTTTTTCTCTATGAACCACTAGCTTATCCCTTTCAATACTGAGCCTTTCCTTATAATATTCTGCTCTCTCTATTCTCATATTTTCCAATATTCTATTTCTATTTAGAATTGGATGCTTTGTATTGGTATTAGGTGCAGATGTAGCGGTGTGGGTAACTGGAACTGGGCTGTCAGTATTCTCTACTTCTTGAGTTTCAGTCTCCTTTAGAACTACATCTGAAGTCAACGACACATTTTCAATAACTTTTGTAGCAGATAGAAGTATCTCGGGATGAATATTTCGTTTTTTTTTGAATATACTGTCCATTTCATCTTTGAATTCAAAAAATTTTCGTCCTCTACCTGTTTTATTCTGATTATCTACGAACTTTTTGTATCCCCTTTCCAATACACGCCATTTATTTTCACAATGCGACGGGGACACATTTATATGTAAATTTTTATTTATTTCCTTGGCTATAATCTCCCATAATTTTTTTAAATTTCTTATTTGGAGAGTTCCAACCTTAGGTTTATATTTCTTATATAAATCTATTAATACTTTAGACTGATTGGTGGTCCAGACCACATAGTCTACAGTTTTAACACTACTATCTTCAACATGGTTTTCATGGTAAATAATAATTTCTTCCATATCTAAAACAAATTAGTATTTATTATAGGTAACTGCATGATAATAATAATTATAAAGATTTACCTTCCTCATTGTTTTCCATTTTAAAGAAGAAACAATTTACTTTGTTACAGCGAATAAAATAACACAAAATTTGTTTATTTAATATAGGCAACTTGCCAGCTCGATAGGATATTGTTCCAACAAAAATCACAAACTAGTTCGCGGCTGGTTAAATTCGCACATGCGTATTGTGCAGCAGTCAGAAACTGCCCTGAACTAGTTTCTGATTCTTTGTAGGAACAAACCTAATGTTTAACACAATGTAGGTAAGGACTTTATTACCAGTTCTTTTTTAAATTTAAATCGCAATATAACTAATAGATGGCGCCATACTATAACTAACAGGAACAAACAAGAAGCACAGAATAATAAACAATCAGAAGGGCCACTCTCAGATGCCGCCTTTGAAGTTTTTCAGCACGCGCTCCATGTTTTAGGAGGACACAAACATATGATTTGTGAGGTTATGCAATTGTTTACATTTATGTTTAATTATATTATATTTATGTTTAATTATATTATATTTATGTTATTATATTTAAAACTGTTAATATAATTGTATAGTATGTCCATGATTGCCGTAAGTCAAATAAACCTGGTTTTTTTTACCATGCACACCACATAAACAACACTGGTTCCCTTTAAAATCCTCGTAAAACATGGCGGAACGTCTGCGTGAAGGAGATGCGCGTACTTAATTTTCCGTGGAGAGTGGGCATTCTGTTTGTTTATTATTGTGTGCAAGAAGTAAGCTAGGATTAACAAAGTAAATGTCATATACTATATTATTTATCTGTGATAAATGTCAGTATTGATAAATTAGGCAACATCCATACCACACTGAATATACCGGTTCTCATTCTAATATTATATTATTTATCTATGGTTCTCATTCGAACAATATAATGTAAAACATTCTCGGTCGCATTCAAAAACTCATCGAAAACTCCAGGAAATCGCCTTCGGGGGCATTCTTCAACATTGTAACGGACGATCTGTCGTTGCGTACCACAGTCACACTCAGGAGTAAGGGCTTTTCCCCATCTATATAAGCTGTAGCACATCTCCCGTTGCTTGTTCTTATTATGTTTAGCCTTGTCCATGTATTGCGGGTAAGTTCAAAGTCTGGCGGTTTGTTGTATATTGTCGCCTTCTTTAACATAATTTAAATTGATAATATCGATGTAATGTTTCAGCGTTAATATCTTTTTGCAACTTTTTGGTCCTTGTTTCAATTTTTTACTGCTGCTTTTTAGGGATATAATATAGTATATTTTAGGTTTATTTTTATGAATGAATTTGGTATCTGATTTATCGTTTTCTGTTCATATTCTCTCTTTTTAAGTATATGGATACGCTTTTGTTTCTTTTCTAAAGCGTCTATACTCTTCTTTTTTCTCCGCATGTAACCAGCCTAACAGTTTTTTGATATACCGCGTTTTTTTCTGTTTGTTGCCATCTCTCACTTAGTATCAAACCCATCGAGCAAAAAGACAAAAGAGGTAATGTAAAGGTAGTGGGACAAAAATATTGTTAGACAGGAAGTGTCATCTTTAGAGGCCACTTTAAACAAGGAAAGACAGTCTCTTTCCTTGTTTAAGAAATCAAATTTGTGGTTATGTTATTGTTTGTCCCAACTGTCACATGAACTTTTATTTATATTGAAGTTTTTTACCAATTGTGTCACATTTTAGACTATTATCGTTAATATTTAATTAAAACTTTCTCGTCTGAAAAATATTTTATAGCTACTGTTAATAAGTGTCTAAGTAAGAATTAGATTCCCTCTTTTGTCTTTTTGCTCGGTGATCAAACCACTGGCTTTTTTTCTCCCAGCTTTCACCCAATTTTCGCCTTCATCAGATTTCAAAGATTTCAAAGATTCAGATTTCTCAGTATCAAACCACTGACTTTTTTTTCTCCCAGCTTTCACCCAATTTTTGCTTTCACCAGATTTCTGCAGTATAATATCTTGTATTTTTATCCATAGCTGGTTAATATCTTCTTTTTCTTCTATGTTTCTTGTCTCTATTTTCTCTGAAAGACTTGGCATCTAAAAGGTTGGAGCACTGCCTTGCAGTGATGACCATTATGATCTATTTGGTTAATCGATTCTTTATCAATAGATTTCCAAGTTCCCTTATGTATGCCCTTATGGGGAATCGTGCCCTACCTATGACCATAATATTCTTAATCATAGCAAATTTTATGAGTCTTAGTCCATTGTGATTTGAATCTGCGGTAAGGCTCTCTTTACTCATGGTGGGACAAAAAATATTCTCTCTTCCGGCTTAAGCATTAAAGACTCTTGATATTATTTGAACATCATTTTTT